GCTGCAATTCTGTACGACTCTGACTTGAAATGCTACATTTGTTAAGCCTCAAATTGATTTAAACATATTTGATTAGTTTCCTTGTCATTTGTCATGCCGATCTGTCTGTCAGAGCGAGAGAAGAGGAGGAGAGAGTGACTGCTTTTGGAAACAGCCATGAAACAGCCATGCCAATCAATTGGACAAGGACAAGTTGGTTGAATAATAATGTTAATAATTACAACACAAGTCTAGGGAATCCCTGATTTGCCATGACTCCCTCATTGAGCTATCTTCCACAGAGACTCCTCCGTTACAATAATTAAGAGCACCATTCCATTCTTCCTCTTCGTTTTCTGCAATTCCCCCTGGATCAGGTACAAGTCCAAAAAAGAGAGCGAGAGAGGGAGCGGGAGGGAGAGAGAGAGAGAGAGAGAGAGAGAGAGAGAGAGAGAGAGAAAAGTACAAAGATTCCACACCTCTCTCTAAGTTCTATTTAGCAGTTTGAATTCGCCCCCTCCCCATCCGACAGTAAAATCTCGGGCCATCACTTGAAGCCCGGTGGGGGATTTTGTGGGAAAGAATAGCCATGTTGATCTTAAAGTCTTAAGTCTCAGCGTACCTGTCAACACTCCGGCTCAGCAGCGAAGACTGTGGCTTAAGTCACTTGAAGTTGCCTTTTAATGAGAGGGGAGGTCTGCGCACACTGTCAGACTGAGCCGAAATAATTCCATACCTTCTGAATAACCCAAGCGTGTCTTTTAATCCTGCTGCTGTTTATGTAATGGAAATAAGCAGGAACAGGTTAATGAGATGGTGAGCTCTGGCCCGCACACACACACATAGACTGGATCTGGTACACTATGAATATGAAGGTAATGTGTGTGTGATGTACGAAAGGCTCAATGCAGCTCTACCCTTAAACATATTCTAATCAAGATGATTATAATAGAACTTTTGGCATTTCATTCAAACAGATGATGTAATTTCCTTTTCCTCTAACTCACAAAAAAAAAAAAAAAATTTTTTTTACCATAGCCTATAATTTTTTTTAGAAATTTAAGAATTTTTTCCCAAAAAGGCACATGTGATCTTTATCTTTATTTTATTGTGTATTTATATACTTTTTGTATAGTTAGAAGAAGGAAATTATGGCAGGAGAAGATAACTAATATTCCCTTCATATAAGAATGTGTTGAAAAAATTATTTAAAAAAATAAAAAATGTATCAATTATCATCTTTATTAAATAATTAGATTTTATATACACACACAAACACATAATTACATGATATGTGTCTGTCTGTATTTTGACCTGCATTCTGACAGCTAGTTTTGAACTTGCCTCTCATAATATATATAACATAATTTTTTTTTTTTTAATGATCAGGAGAAGTATTCCACTTATTCCCCTAATTTTGGACATTAATCTTGGAAATTGACAGGAATATGTACAGAGAATCTTATTTCTTCTTGCCTCTTTCAATTCTCCTTCCTTTCCATCTCTCATTCCCTCTGTATTTTTTACCCCCCTGCTTTTTTCCTCGCTCCCTTACTCCATCTCTTCTTTTCTTTCAGTGGGAATAATCCCCCCTACAGGAGACTTCAAAGAGCAGGCCAGGCAGGGACAGGCTTAATTACCCGCCTGCCTTAAAACTGATGCCAAATCAAAACTTGCTCTGGTCCATCTCTGTCCTGCCGTGGCAAGGCTAATTGTGGCCTTGGATTCTATTTTGGGGAGTAGGGGAAAAAGGAAATAGTCACAATTAAATCAAAACAAGAAATATGTGGGCGGCACATCACACATCATCATATAGTTCTGGAGGACCTGCCTGATTGATGTGAATTTTGGAGCTATTTTAGAGTACGATATAGTCATTTTTATAGCAGTGTTTGCTTTGCGCTAAATAACACCTCAGCACTAACATGGGCTGTGCATGGCATGCTATATCGAGGGTGTTTTATTTGGCCAGTCCATAAAGTTCTTCTATACTTTTTCCATGTTTTTAATCTTACACAGGGGGTAATCCAGCCCTTTTTTTTTAAGCGAGTGAAGTTTTAAACCTCTCCGGGATGTGCCGAGAGGTTTCGATGGCTGGCCGAGGGAGAGCATAACGTCGGGGTATTTAACACCATGGAGAGTTGGATACGAGGGGGCTTAATGATGCCGTAGCAGTCGGGATGAGCGCTAATTCACCGCCCAGGGCCCACGACGGATGGGGCACCTGCAGAGCCTGCCATCAGTCAGCTTACCCACTCTCGACAGGTCCCGGGAGGGGCTCCATATCCCTCCGACTCATGGAGCTCTGCCACTCTCCACAAAATGGCCTCATAATGACAGACGAGTGCATGAGGTAGTTTGCATTTTTTTGTTTTTCTTTTCATTCTGACTAAATGCAGTCTCACTTGTCAGCCTCTGAAAACTGTTTGCCATTAAAAACACATCATAAGAATTTTAAACACAAACAAATATGTTTATGTGCACTTAAAAGTCTTGCGTTCCCTTAAGATTTGCCACACGATAAGAACATGCCCGGGAGCCAATTATGTTTAGATTGCAGTAGTGTTATAGCATCGGTCTTGCTTTAATCTGTATGTGATGTAGTTGAATATAATGTGACATCACAAAACATTTCCCTGTATAGCTCCACCCACTCGTGTTTTCATGTCAGTTATGTATAAAAAGTTTTTTTATATCGCAATAACAAATATAAACATTATGAAGAATCGTGAAATGTGAAAGAAAGAGTAAACAGCAGTAAAAATTCTTGTTTTTTTATTCAAGACCTGCATACCAAAGTTGCCTCAGTCCAAACAAGGGGCATCAGCGTCTAATGCTTGGAAGAAATACGGGAGGAAAAAAAACAAAATGTACACAAAAGGGCGGCCTTCAAAAACAACTAGTATAACACAAGTGAACATAATTGTCAGTTTGAGATGAACGTACTGTATAAATGAGTGGTCGTACAGAGCTCTCTGACCTCCACAAAGTGCCACATCTTTTTTAAGATGCAAATACCAGAAGCTAATACATTCTGGGAAAGGGTTTGAAAGTATACATGGTGGGTCAGGTTGATTGATTCGTGTCTGTATGAGTGTGGTCAGTTTTAGTAGCTCTTGATGACTTTAATTGTAGCCTTTGGTTGGAGGCAAAAAGCTTTGATGTGAATTGCACACTATTGAAGAGAAGATCATATACAGCGAGGTTTGGCTCGGCTATCCTGTTACCTACACATTTGAAAGTCCCCTGTGTCGATTATTTTAGACATATTATGAGCGAGCCTGCTTCCTGTGGGTGTGTGTGTGTTTGTGTATGTGCAGAGGGAGGGAGACTGAGAGAGACAGACAGAGAGAGAAAGACCTTCCAAACTTTACAGACCTTTTTCTTTACTTCCTTATCAGAAAATGATGACACAATAATGACTTGGACAGGTATAACATCTTGTATTTGTGCTCTATTCTTCTCATGCTAAAAGACCTGAACTTTACAGGCACCAGAAATCAGGTATTACGCCCCACAAATCAGAGGACAGTCGGGGGCTTTGTTTTAAAAAAGACAGACTGTTGCCAGTGCTAGTCAGAACACACAAATTAAAAAAAAAGAAAAAGATCAAGAAAGAGAGAGAAATAAAACAAAGTCTGAGCAAGCATATAAAATTATTTACAACCAAGACAAGAGTGAACAAAACATTTACTGTTGTATATGTAGCTACAGTAAAAGGTCAGACAACCTCGTAAACTCATCTGTACATTTTTAATTTGAATTTTCACAATTGTATCCTGCCAAATGTGTGTACATATACAGTATATATATATATACACACAGACACACACACACACACACACACACACACACACACATAAACACATCATAGTAAGAAAAAGATCAAGAAAGAGAGAGAAATAAAACAAAGTCTGAGCAAGCATATAAAATTATTTACAACCAAGACAAGAGTGAACAAAACATTTACTGTTGTATATGTAGCTACAGTAAAAGGTCAGACAACCTCGTAAACTCATCTGTACATTTTTAATTTGAATTTTCACAATTGTATCCTGCCAAATGTGTGTACATATACAGTATATATATATATACACACAGACACACACACACACACACACACACACACACACACATAAACACATCATAGTGCCTACACATGTATTTCATTCCAGCCATTAAGAAAATCCATTACCGAAGAAGAAACCAGAAAATGCACATGACAGTTACCTCAGTATTTTTCCTGTGATCATCTTTCCATACATAAATGTCACTGGCCCCATGGCAGTTCTCTTTTAATCAATTTCATCTTTATTTTCTTACACCCGAGGCAGAAAAATTACTAAAACTCAAGACTTTTACAGTTACAGTGACAAAACATTTTAAAGACCCACAATTTAAATTGGACTGCGAAATGAAATTAATTTAAAAGAAAAAAAAGAAAAGAAAGAAAAGACGTAAAGAAATAATAATTGGGAAAAACTATTTTTTTATTTTATTTCCTTTTTTTTTCTTTTTCTTTTTTGTAAAATGCCCAGGCATTCTCCAATATTACAAATACTGGTATACTTTTACAGTAAACAAGAAAAATGTCATATATATATTTATTTATATATATATATATATATATACTTAAAATCCCGTCACCAAAAACCAATATACACACGCCACTATGGCATTCAGAGAAACTTTATAAGCAAACTTGAAAAAAAGAAAAGAAAAGAAAAATTCTTGTTTGTTTAAAACACACATACACAGAAATATAATTTTACCCTTGTACTTGTTTCAATACTGTAAACGTATTTTAAGACAGAGTGCACTAATTTTTATTTCTTTTTTTTTTTAGTTTCTGTAGTTCCTGATTTTTGTCCAGTCTCTTCCTTGACTATTTGTAGCAAAAGAATCATCCATTATTTTCAAGGGACGCAGTCTTGTCCTGAAGTGAAAAATTTTACATATACATATTTATATATATTTGCCTATTGTGTGTGTTTTTGTGCAGTTATATGTACATATACATACATATATATACACACATAGACACACATTAGTATTGTTCTGGCTACTTTTCATTTTAGTTCAACTTCAACTACTTTTCATTTCAGTTCTATAAGTGACCTATGTATCTGTTTTTATCATTATTCCTCTAGAAGCAGATTAAAACCACATGGACTTAATTGTTTTTTTTTTCAATTCTTTGCTTCACAAAAGTGTTGCATTTGTCTTATAAGACAATAAATAGGAAGATCAGTATTCAAGGCACACTCATGTCAAATTGAATGGCAGTACAAAAACTGTCCAAATAAATTAATTTCATTTTTATAGTGCCAGCATTGTGAAAGCCAAGCCTATCAACACTGGCACTTCAATCTCAGATGCTCCCTCTAGCAAGGCCCAATAAATTTGTATTTGAACATAATTTCTTGCTCAGAAGCCGTTTTCGCTATTGTTTTCAAATATGTAAATCAAAATAATAAAGTGCGGGTCAATTGCGAAGAGCTGCGTATGTTTATTTTTCTTTCTTTCTCTCTCTCTTTCTTTCTGTGTCATTAGTTTGCTTTGCTCTTTTTAAAACCACGATATTCCCTCGCTTCAATCATTTGCGCTGGTTAGGGCATCTTGTCGAAAGAAGGCTGTTTAACTGCCAATAAATCAGTTGGATAGGAGAGAAAAGAAAAGGGAAAATTCAGCTGTGCATTCTGTAAGCGTGTTGCTACTTCTGAGAATGCGTTCAACTACACATCACAGGAAGTCCTGAATGAGAAGAAAGAAAGAAAAAAATTGTCTTACTGTTTTAGCACACGCTCAACAGGTCATGACATACACTCTTTACTGTGCAATTGACTAATCTGCATACCTGCTGATGGCTCTCACAAACGGGACATGACCAGATTAACCAGATGAATCAATATCATACACGTTTTATAACTATAATCAGATTCACTGTGCAGTATTAATTTGTTTCTCAAAATGATTGATAAATATATATATATATATATATATGTACAAAAATGCATAGGGCTGTTTCAAGTGATTTAAGAAACATTGTAATAGAATGACAACATTGCTGAAAGTATAACTGAATTCATTCTAATCTAATCTGGTTAAGGTGGTGACTCCGTCTAGAACCTCAGAGCCTAATACCCAAAAATTAAACAACAGAACTGAACACAAAATAACAATGTTTAGATTTAAATGTCAGTCAATGGAAACAGAACAGTGGTGCTGCCTTGCTTTGACTAATGTGCTTTTAGGTTTACTAACCGGAATTGGACTGTAAAGATCCTTCTCTCTCTTTCTCTTCCTGTGTGTGTGTGTGTGTGTGTGTGTGTTTAAATCACTCTCCTAGTGTACGAAAACTGCTTCATCCTCTGGCCTAGACGTCTGTTCCTTTAACTTAACAATGATGTAGTATGACAAGCCACTTTTATGGGAAAGATGGAGTTGATTCATGACATTTAGGGGTGGTTGGCAGTGTAATATGAAGTGTGGAGACGAGGCGAGGGTTGTGAATGAGCTGAACCAGAGGACCGGACTGCTTTATCAGAGAAGACGGCTGAGATCAGATAGCAGACTTGGCAGAAGTAGCTACGCAGCTCACCCTGAGTTGTTTTAAAGCCGTCTTCCTTCTACTACTATTGTGCTGTTCAGCAAAATCAAATGGGTTTGATTAAGTGCAGTGTCTATGGAAAGGGTGCTGGCAAATAAAATTGACTATTGAGACCTATAACACAATCCATACTTTGACTAGCGTTGTCTGGGTCGGTACTAGGTACCAATAAGCAGCTGCCTTCACTTTTGTCTGTCTTTATAGTCTCCTCTCCTTGATTTCGAGTTGACGGAGGTCTTCAGCCCCACAGTTCTCTTTAGATTTACTGTTAGAACTGATATTCAGTGCTACATTCCCAATTAGATTGACATGCTTAAAATCAGTTTGTGCTACAAGGTCTAAGGATTGTTGTCCGCTCATTTCGTAAGTGTGAATAAAAAACAAAAAAGGAAAACAAAAAGAAAGACAAAGCTTTCTCAATTCAGCTTTCAAAATTTGAAGATTGAATGCGGCTTCTCTTCAAGAAATTACATGTGTAGCTTAAATAATCTACATTGTAAGCAGCGGCCTATGGATTTCTCAAACGATACTCTGTTTTGCTAAAAACAAACAAACAAAAATCTCAGGATGTCTTTTGGGTTTAAACAAAATCTCAGCATTTGAAATAAATCATAAGATAATGGAATAAAAAAATTATGAAATAAAAATGAACCTGCACATGCCAAAACATTAAAAAAATCCAATAAATACAGAAATTATTGCACAGTTAAAGGCTCCATTTAAAATATTGTCTAATGTATCCACTCATATATGGGTGGTTTATAGCGGCTCCAAATTAATTTTCCCTTTTTTTTTTTTTTCTTTAATGTCTTTATCATTCTCAGATGGCAGTTTCTTAGGACAAAACTAACTCAAACCATTAACTTGAAAAGAAAAGAAAAAGAAACTAGCAAAAAAAAAAAAAAAAAGAAACCGCAAACAACAAACAAACGGGAAAAAAAATAAAATAAAAAAACAGAGTATCCAGCTACCCCTTTTATAATCAAGGAATTGTGAGACAAAATAGGAAATCTGGCTTAGCTTCTCTCTGCTTGTTCAATTTTGACCTCATTCGTCATCAAATGTTCCCCATGCCACTTTTTCATGTGTTTCTCGAGCGTGCTGTAGACGCTGAAGGGCATTTGGCAAATGTCACAGCGGTACACGTCCTTACCGAGCTGGCCGTGTGTCTTCATGTGGCGGGTGAGCTTGCTGCTCTGGGCGCAGGCGTAGTTGCAAAGCTCACACTTGTAGGGCCTCTCGCCTGTGTGGCTGCGTCTGTGCACTGTCAGATTGCTACAGTTCTTGAACACCTTCCCACAGTACTCACAGGTGTCACTCCTCCGGCTTTCTTTTGAGCTGGGCCGGCCTGATCCCGGCCCCCCACCCAAGTGTGGGGTGCTGCCTCCACTAGCAGTACCACTACGGCCGGAGAGGCCCCCGTCCAGCAGGTCCCCTGGCGGCGTGGAGAATCGCAGGCTGCCGTTCTCGGAAGAGTGCTCCGAGGAGGTGGCAAATGGAGATTGTCTGGAATCGGTGAAGCCAAGAAAGGGATCTTTGATGAAGTGGCGGGATGCTGCATAGCCCACTAGCCACTGGGAGTAGACGTTTTCAGATGGGATTAGGGGGGCTGGGGGTATGTCCAAATCCTTTTCGATTTTGATCCTCTTGTTAGAGGAGTTGGAGAGGCTGGGGCTGGTGATGGGAGTGGGCTTGCGGGGAAACAGGCCTAAGAAAGAGTCACCCGAGCCACAGTTCCTTCCATTCACAGTTGCCCGCTCCACTTGGTCCATTTCCCCTGTTACTGAATCACGGTCACCCGCATCCCTCTGCCCTTCTGACATCCTTTTGGAGAACGGAAGCCTTTTCCGATTGTCGACTATTAAGTTATTGTACTGTTGGATGGAGCTGAGCCCTACGTTTTCCACCATCTTCCCCAAGGAGAGGTTCTTCTCATCCAAAGGTGGCTTTGAGCCATTTTCCCTATTCCGACTGAACTCCGAGTCCATGCTGAAGTTTGACTCAGGCCTGCTTTCATTTTCTAGTTCCTCCTCTTCTTCCTCTTCCTCCTCCTCTTCATTTTCAGGGCCCATGCCCTCACCTCTAAAATCACCGTCTCTGTTCTTCATACCCTCCCCAGTGACGTCACTAGTGCCTGGCTCGGGTGAACTGGTGGTGGACAGGCCATCATCAGAACGCCCCGTCATGGAGCCAGACTTGTGCATGTGGGTCTTCATGTGGCGTTTCAGTTTGCTAGCCTGAGAACAGGCATGATCACACAGTTGGCACTTGTAGGGTTTCTCGCCCGTGTGGCTTCGCCGATGAACAACCAGATTACTCTGAAACTTGAAGGTCTTGCCACAGAACTCACAGGACTTCGACTTGCCCAGTGTCTGCGGTGGGGTGGTGCTATTAGGGGGCATGGGAGGTAGTGGAGGGGTGCTCAGAAAGGGCGACTTCGGGCTGGGTTGGAAGGGGTTGGGATTGAGGAGGCGATGCATAGGGTTTGCACGGCTTGGTGACAGCGGTGGAGTGGAGTTGTTGTTTCCAGCGAGCTCTCTAAGTCGGCGGGAGAAATCCATGGACTGGGACTCCATGGCCATGGGTGTCATGCGCATCACTCTCTCAAAGGCACTGGGATGCTGGGAGATTAAACCCATTTCCTCTGCGCTAAGGCGTTCTAGGCGATGGGGATCTAAGTGATGGCGAGGAGGGGGGCTGACAAAAGGAGGCGTATTAGGGAGGCGGTTTTCCACAAAGCCAGGTGGGGGCTCTCGGAGTAAGGGCCCAGTCATCCGTAAGAGGTGGAACGGGTTGTTGTCCCCTAAAAAGCTGGTTAACGGGGACTGTGGTATGGATTCAGCACCAATGGGGGGAGGAATAGTGATCCGTGGGGTCAGGGAGGTATTCGAGGGGTTGGTCTCCAAGTAGATGCGTATCCCATGCGTGTTCTGAGCGTGTTGCAGAAGGAACCAGGCATTGGAATAGGGTTGTTTGCACGTCGTGCATATGTAACTCGAAGGTTCATCTCTACCTGCAACCAAGCAGAAAACAACAAAGATCTTTATTTATGTTTGAGTTTAAAACCTCTGCAGGTCACTTCCACAACATTTGTGTCATAATGCTAGAAATTTAGTCCTGTTAAATAACCCACTAAAAGTAGATCTGACTTGATGAAGAATGAGGCGTAGGGTCAAGCATGATTACATGTTACAAATAACAAACTTTGAGGTATCTGACACTTTGGGCTATGGCCATTTTCGTGCACCCATCAGGCCGTCACATGAACAGGGCAACTCATCCTTAACAGAGCTGTGACAAGTGCATTGCCATACTGCTCCACGAAGGGTTGGAGCTCTGGGAACATTGCATTACCCATTTCAACTTGCTTTTAATCTTCGCTTTTACAAACGGCTGACTCATTTTAAAAACATAATGTCAGGCAAGAACACTCTAAACTGGGAAACCCTCCAAGCACTGAGACTGTCCTAGGATGCCAGAGTAATATGCCACCAAATTGGAGAAGTACAACTTAAACTGTGATTTAGGGGACTCTCATCACTATCAAACAAATAAACTTAAGTTGCCCCCTCAAAGAAACAAATAAAAAATGAGAGAGGAGGGTGTGAGTTGGGGGAAGGTGGAGCACACATCAAGATAAATGGTTTCAAATAAAGAGTGAAAACACCGCCTGTGATTTAAGAGGCTGAGAGGAAAAAAGCACACCGGTGTGAGAGTTAAAGTCTGTGGCATTTAAAACAGCTCAAGGGTATTATTTACTGTTCCATTAAGAATTTCTCAAGATTGTTTTTCTTACTTCCTCTCACGTTTTTTTTATCTTATTCTGTAGTTACACTTCCTGGAAAGCCCCCTCCCCCCTTAATGACATCACAGTGAAGCACTGCTACTCTGAGAGCAAATTTGATTACAAAGAAAAAATGGCTCACTAGTGAATTAATTGCACAGTTTCACTGATAACAATTGTTTTCCGTATTCCACAGTTTTAATCATATAATTAAATACCAGCAAGTGAATGTGTGAAGTCTGCATACACTCTGGGTTCAGGTAAAGTGTGAACAGCATCAGTTCTTGGATCAGAGGATGTGTTAAAAAGTGGCTCCTGTGCTTTGTGCGGCTCTGGAGCTTTAACTATACATGACTAATTGATGCTACAACTTCACTGTTACACCGGTTCCGCCATGCAAAGGGGACTCATTACCATGGCAGCACAAACAAGCCAAGTGTACGGAGTATAAAATGAAAAAGGATGCTAAACCATCTCTGCTGTACTCCAGGGGCACTGGTGTAAAAAAAAAAAAAAAAAAGAACAAAGTCAAAATGGTAATTGTGCACTAGCAAATGAGTTTCATTTATTTATTAAATGAAAGCTTGCTGTTCTGACCTAATTCAGCAATTTAGGATATGCAGAAAAACATATGCTGCCGTAATTGTTTGGGTATTTGATTTCTGGCTGTGCTTTGTGTACCTTTATGAGTGTTTTCATGTATATGTACGTGTGCGAGAGCGAGCGGCTGCTGAGAGAACAATGGGGCGGCAGTCACACACAGGGCTCAGAGGAGCTGGGACTAGGAAGCCCTCATGGGTGTCTATTTCACTCATGGCCATTGTAAAGGATCAAAAAGAGCAGCGAGAATGAATGGTTAGTATCTGTTCTAGCATTCCTTTACATGTTGCTGAAGAGCAATGCTAAACATGGGAGTGTGTTTTCATCTGAAAGAGACAGAGACAAGGGATTATATACAGCAATAGCCTGAAGCTTCATCTGATTGGTATACTGAGATGCAATATTTCATCAAGGAATTTGAATAGTAAGCACACAAAAATGTAAATCAGTAAAAAATTAGTAGTGCCATGCACATATGAAAATTTCTAAAGTGCCACATTAATAACATTTAAAAAAGCATTTTCTTCCACAGGTATCATAGCATTATTTTGTGCTTAGAGAAATATCATTATCAATAGTTTACCCTTCATGTCCTGTTTGGGTTTTTTTTTTTTTTCTTAGAATTTAAATATCAGGTTGATTCTTAATGACTTTTCCTAATCTTATAAAATCTATATATATCTATAAGCAAATGTGATAATATCCTTTAAACATCCTCAAGGAAAAATCATAAATTATTTTTATAGTGTTTAAAAAAAAACATATGCTGACATCAGTTTCAGATTGGTGTAAACACTAAGAAATACACAATACACCAAATACAACCATTGCTTTAATGCATGCTTTAAATTTTTGCTATGGTCAAATTGACCTCAAACATAAACAAATTTACTATATTTGATATCAGTCACAATTCTGAAAGGTGCATATTTACTACAACAGATAAGTTAAATCTGCAATAATGTTTGCCTATTAAGTTTAAATATCTCATAATAATTTACAAAAAAAATTATATTGTAAATGAGGATGTTAAATTTCAAAATTCCTTTTAAGATTATTACTTATACCATGTGAGACCTCAAACATAAAGCACAAACATTCGCTCTCAACAGAACATGAGGGTTAAAACAAAAAGCTTCTGTCAGATGATGTGTGCTAGCTGATATGTATGACACATAGAAAGAAATGTTCAATCAATGCCCTTTTAAATGTAAAAAAAAAAACATTCAAAGATGAAACATTTACAAGCACTTAAATGCATTTTAAAGGTTCACTGAGAAAAAAAACAAGCATTCTCCACTAGATGTTATTATGTGGCTGATGTGCATTCATAAGAACATCTGTTTACCTCTACCCTTGTCCTGTAAAGCTTTTGACTTAATTACAGTGGACAGAGCGTAAGCTCCACACAATGGCCATCTTTTTTCCCCCAGCCTCTCAAGGCCTACATATATGCATACACGCAAAAAACACACACACACAAACACAATCCTCCAACCTCCTCTTGTTGTTTTATGGCAGATGCTTTCAAAGACTAATGCTCCATGTAAAGGAGGCCTAGAAAACAAGTAGTGTCTGTGTTTACTAGGCACTGTCCTTTTCCATTGTGTGTGTGTGTGTGTGTGTGTGTGTGTGTGTGTGTGTGTGTGAGAGAGAAAGAGAGAGAGAGAGAGAGAACCTTTCTCTATGCTAACTACCAGGGCGTAAAACACGGGCTACTGTACTAGCTGATCCTCTCGCAGACAAACAGAAGTCATCAGGGGGCCGAATGTTCATTTCTGCCCCACAATTAAGACGAATCAATGGCTGCTGCCTGAAATGGTATTTGTGGCCGTGCTGAAGGGACTCGGGCGTGAGTTTATTGAGAAGTGTTCAGCGCCTGCACTCCCGAGGGGATTGGAGTCCGACGCAGATGGCAAATAAAGTATGCAGCCCGAGGCGAGAGCACATTATGCTAATTCTAATGTCAGCTGTACTTTAATATACAGCTCTATTTAATCACCCTATTATTTCACATTTCCATATGAAAAAAGGAAGAGAGAAGAGAAAGGGGAGAGAAAACCCGCATTACTTCTCTTGCTACTAACACTACGAGTGTGCTCAGGTTTAGGTGGATCCCCGGATTTTGTGTCGGCAAGGGGCGCTGTAGCTATTCACTATCAGGTTCTTGTATCAACACACGTTTGCACACATTTACACCTAAAACAACCATAATGAATCATTTAAACCAAATATCAGAAGACACACATTTATACAGGTAATATTTTACAAAATAATACATAAATAATAAATGCACTAATACTAATGAAATGACTAATGGTACAGCGTTATCTTTATAAACATGCACCTAAAACACACATTCATAAATACATAAAATATAGAATATAAGACTATATAAAATGGAATCCACAACACGTAACAATCAAAATGTGATTTTCAAAAAAAAAAAAAAAAAATTTATTTTATTGGATAGTGAGTCAGGCTTTGTTAGGATATGGAATTATTTTGAATTGATTATATTTTTAATTTTATTAATATTTTTTATATTATATTTTAATATGGCCTGTAATACACACACATACAAAATTACAAAACTAAAATTTACTTTTAAAAAAATATTCAGAATAGTATTCACTATCAAAACTAAGATCATAGTAATTATAATATGATTTATTAAAAAAAAGAAGTCATCTGGATTTTATGTTTTAATATTTTAAAAAAAAAAAAAAAAAAATTTATTTTATTGGATAGTGAGTCAGGCTTTGTTAGGATATGGAATTATTTTGAATTGATTATATTTTTAATTTTATTAATATTTTTTATATTATATTTTAATATGGCCTGTAATACACACACATACAAAATTACAAAACTAAAATTTACTTTTAAAAAAATATTCAGAATAGTATTCACTATCAAAACTAAGATCATAGTAATTATAATATGATTTATTAAAAAAAAGAAGTCATCTGGATTTTATGTTTTAATGCATACACAGATATGTACACATTTAACTTTGCAAATACAACAAACAGCATGAAGCTAAATTACGACAAATATACAAGACATGACCTATAATATAGATTTCCACACAGAGGAACTTTTACTGTTTTTTTTTTTTTTTTGCATTGATGCAGTGCATTCTGGCAATTCCGATTTCTCTGATTTGGAAATGAAAGGGCCAAATAGCAGCCTGCCCATTCTGCTGATAAGTTTGGAGTGATTAGTTTCTCATGCTGAGCACTGGCTGATTCTATTTTCAATTAGATATTCCCAACGAGGCCCAGCTGCCGGGCGGGAGAGGAGAACGAGGACGTTATTGTGTGAAAGTGTGTGTCATCGGCAGTATCAGTCATGCATGCAGACCCCAATTCAATTAAAGAGAAATTATCACTAATAACAATCGTGGTTCTTCGCACACACCGACTTAAACGACATGCAAATGCCGGGCTTTAAGACACATTAACCGAAAAATTAAAAGATGACAGTTAATAGGTTTCAGCGTCGCACTGAGAGGTACAATGATCCACTTTAGCTTTCATCCTGAAAATGGAAAAAAAATACATGAGGAATAAAAATTATTCAACATGCATTCTCTGCGATTTGGCCACTTTATTTTACAGTTCACA